AAAATATTCTCAATGAAAAGTAGCTTATGGAAATGTTTTATAAGCTAAAGATTGTTTTATAATGCTCATTGTGTGTGATAGTGTATTATTGTTCTTGTAGAGATGTCACTGATAATGGCTGCTCCTCTTCCTCTGGTGTTTCTGCTCATGATTCACGGTGAGTCGCTCCTCATGGAGAATAGTTTAATGATCTTTAGTCTCTTATCAAAGTCTTTCTTTCAAATCATGAGTCCGGCAGCGCCCTGTTAAAACCCCTTTCAGAAACAAAAATTGTAAATAAAAATTCTTCAAAAATTAAGTAAAAAATAAAGGCAGTCTGAGCTAAAATTAAAAAGAATAATAACTTCTGATTAATGTTTGAATTATTCTGATTGGAGTTAACCATATAAATATGTGCATCAATAATGATTATATTAATGTGTTTAATGTGTAAAAAAATTAATGTAATGAACAAAAGGGGTCAGTAATTATTAAACAATCGTTTTTGTGTGAACTATCCCTTTAATGTGTGTTTCAGGAGTTTGTAGCCAGTGGGGTGGTTGGGGTGTGAGTTACAGTCCTTCACACATCTGTGCACTAAAGGACTCAACAGTGATAATGAGATGCACTTATACATACCCTACTGGATATCAGATCAAGAAAGTGTTCTGGACCAAATCACTGGTAATAGATCACGAAGAGCCTCCAGATCTGTCTAATGTCCCTGAATACAGTCAGAGGCTTCAGTATCTGGGAGATCAACAGCAGAACTGCACCTTCAGACTGAGTCATGTGACACTGAAGGATTTACACATGTACTATTTCAGATTCATCACTGATAAACCTGGTGGAAAATGGACTGGTGTTCCAGGAGTGACTCTTAATGTCACAGGTGACTTTGATGAGGTTTATCTCTTCTTCTGTGCATTATGTTGAATAATAATCAGTGTATGACAGCAGCACTAGATATAATGTGTGTGTTGTGTTCAGATCTTCAGGTGGAGTCTCCTGAGAGAGTGACAGAGGGAGATTCAGTCAGTCTGACATGTAAAAGCAGCTGCGCTCTGACTGACAGAGCAACATTCATCTGGTACAGAAACTCACAGCCATTAACTGAGAGAAGAAGAGACAGAAACAATGAACTCCTGCTGCAGTCAGTCAGAAGAGAGGATTCAGGCAGATATAGCTGTGCTGTAGACGGACACACTCACGTCTCTCCTGATGTTCAGCTCAATGTCATGTGTGAGTATGTTCTTTAAAGTTTTCTTTCCAAAGCCAGTAGAGTTCACTCGTCCCTCCTTTTCTTTAAAAATGGAAGTAATTGGGGCTAATCTTTAAAACATTAAAACACTCACTGTTTTAATAGTACAGCCACAAGACATGAACAATACGTGTGTTTTTAACATTTTCTGTTATATTATAAGAATGATTCGTTCAAGAGCAGAACATCACTAGCGCTTTCAGTCACACCTAACAATTACGTTACTAACTACAATTTTTGTCATGTAATTTGTAATCACTAACCGACTATAGTTTGTAAGTAATCTATCCAGCACTGATTTACTGATTACCACAAACACAGAAAAAAAATACAGTGTTTTTCGTTTTGGATATTTCTTAAAACTTGACATGATCTTTTGACACAAGGATCCATGGATTTATGTTGTTAATGCTAAATTCTGCACCTACCATCTGTTTAAGAACAGAAATAGAAGTGCTTTGTTGGGTTGACGGGTGATACTATACATTTCTCCTGTAGATCCTCCAGTGAATCCTGTGATCTCCATCAGTCCATCTGGTGTAATAGTGGAGGGAGATTCAGTGACTCTGAACTGCATCAGTGACTCAAACCCTCCTGCAGAAATCCGCTGGTTTAAAGGAGGAACGATTGTAGGATCTGGAAGAATCTTCAGCATCTCAAAGATCAGCTCTGATGACAGTGGAGAATACAAGTGCAAGTCCATCAATGAACATGGAGAGAAATACTCTGATGCTGTGACTTTAAACGTCATGTGTGAGTTAATGATGGTTCAGTAACTGTTGTAACAAACAAATTAGTGGATTAGCATTCGCAAAACATTACTATAGAGTTTATTTTGTCTGTTTTAGACCCTCCCAGGAGCGTCTCAGTGTCCATCATTCAGTCTGGTCAGATTTGGCTGGGAGATTCAGTGACTCTGAAGTGCATCAGTGACTCAAACCCTCCTGCTCTGAACTTCAGCTGGTTTAAGGAGAATGAAACCTCAGCTGTTGGATCTGGACAGAGTTTCAGTGCACTACAGAGTGGACGCTTCTACTGTCAGGCTCACAATCAACATGGATCTCAGAGATCAGACGCTGTAACTGGTCAGGCTTAGATTTTATAAAGGGTTCAAGTTGTGTAGCTTTGAGAGTTAATCTGAACTCAAATCTTTCAGTACATCGTGGTCATGGCTGGCTCTGGTTGGGGATCACAGTGTGTTTAGGATTCTTCATCGTCATCATCATCATTCTGTTTATAATGTAAGTTTGATTAAAATCATTCTCAAATACAGTGAGTGTATGGATGTAATTCAATTTAAAACTAGTGCAGGTGGAAATGCCTCATGTAATGTGATTAATAATTAATCTTTAAAATGCATTTACAAGTTTAATGTCTGTTAAATCAGGAGAAAACGAAGAGGTGCTAAAGCTGAAGACCTCACCGAAAAACAGGTACATCTTCTAGACACAACATGTGAATAGTCTAGTTAGACGGGGCGATTCACACAAAACATGAGAGACAAGTCAGTGGAACGAGAGAGAAAAAAACCCCAAAAGTTTAGAGATGTGTCTAGAAAAGTTTACCGCTTTTTAATTTCAGTGCCGTGTTTAACGGTGTCACGTGAGTGTGTTATAGAAAAACAATGGAAAAGTAGTGCACTGAAATGGAAAAATGTGTTCTGTGTGAACAGCCTTTAAATGTGAATGATAAATAATATTAAATTTTCTTCCGTTTCAGGACAATCTGTACTCTACCGTAGCAGGGAGAGACGCTCATGTTTCTGAATCAGCCGATTGTGATGACGCTCAGTACGAAAGTGTTACTCCCAGCAAACCCAGAAGAGACGGAAACACTCCTGAATGCAGAGACGCTGAGGAGATCCAGTACGCAACTGTCCAACATCACAGAAAGACCGAGACGAAGAGAGCAGAGGAGGACGAAAGCCACTACGACAATATCAGGATTGGTCAGCCTGATGCTGCCGTGAGGTGAGAAGAACGAGCTTAAAGAGACAGTTGATTTGCCATCAACTCAGTCATGTTACATTTTTTCTTAATAACTTTGTGTCCCACTGATGTTTCAGAAACAAGGTATCTGATTTTTTTAATGACTTTTATCATCATGTATTCTGATACATAGCATGATTGTTTTTAGGCGATCAAATGTGCAGACTGTGGAAGAGGATTCTGTGATCTACAGCCGTGTCAAATGAGTAAATGAGACCATCATGAAGACAAAGGCCAAAACAATGAAACAATATTCTGAGATTAGGGCTGTCACATTAGCATGTTAATTCACTCAGTTATTTATTATTCGTTAAATCAGGTAAATAGATGTCAGGAATGCAGTGTCTGTGATCCTTTTCTCATTACAAGAGCAGAATACAAAGGAAAGAGCCAAGAACCAAAAACACGGTGTTTAGTGAGACTAAAATGATGATTTGTTTCTTAATGTCATTTGAATTTTTGACTTAATGTGTTTCTGTAAGCAAATAAAAAGGCTGTATCAGTTTTACCAAATTCAAGCTTGTGTGTGGTCATTTCTGGGTCATTGTAGACCTAAACTCAGAATAACCTACTAAATGTGATAGCTGGGTTAATACTAATATTTGGCCTATTCTAACAAACTCTGAAAAGGTGCAACAGTGGATAAAATTAAAGCTTGATGAACACTTCAGTCTATTAAAGTCACCAGTGATGATTATTTGAAGAGCAACTTCTGTGTAAGTGTGTTAAGACGAGGTCAATCATGTTGGTTTAATCAGTTTGATTAAAATAACATGTTACGGAGCCTCTAAAGTCACATGGTGGTGGAAATTATATTTCAATGCTTTTGTGTTTTCTCTCAAATGAAACTTTTGTGAGCATTGAAATATAATTTCTCCCCCCATCTCATACTTTTGAATCTCCATGTCCTTTTAAGGGGTTTTATATTAAGCAATATTAGCTGAGAATTAATTTTAATCGATGACGTACATTGAGACACATTGGGATGCAAGTGTTCTTCATCAAGACTGGCGCTTATGTGTGGGTGGACTGATTCTGGATGAGGTCATTTCCTGTCCCACCCACCTCTACTGCCCACCACTTCCTGTCACTATTCTTTTCGCCAATAAACTGAGGGCAAAAATTTTCACGAGGATGTCAAAATATAACTGGTCTGTCTGCGGTCAAAGTGTCGACATCCAGTCTTACTCAATATAAGTTCATATCTTGTGTGTCTTGCTCAATAATTCTTCAGAAAATGTTTCCAGGAAGAACTTGGTTTTAAAACTATTTTTATTCTATTTCTTTATGAACATCCCTTCAATCTTAAAATATGGAAATGCAAGTGAAACCGTAAATACGTCCTATATGCTAATACATCTTTGTACAAGACCAATCAAAGTGGTGGACAAAATTCTTAATATTGTTAAACATTTTGGGTTTAATGACTTTTTAGATATCAATAAATGCCATTGGATCATGATGAAAAGTTGTCTAAAGTTGCTTATGTGGGCATGAGTAAAGAAAGAGGAAGAAACATTTCTGTCTGTGTAACCATGAGCACTTCATCAGTTCAACATCCGCGGGAGAGACTCGCCAGAACACGGTAAGAGTTACGCTGGTTACTGTGAATATAGTCAGAGTAATACTGTTGTAGAAACCACTAACCTAATCAAAAGGAAATATTCTCAATGAAAAGTAGCTTATAGAAATGTTTTTAAAGCTGAAGATTGTTTTATAATGCTTATTGTGTGTGATAGTGTATTATTGTTCTTGTAGAGATGTCACTGATAATGGCTGCTCCTCTTCCTCTAGTGTTTCTGCTCATGATTCACGGTGAGTCGCTCCTCATGGAGAATATTTTAATGTTCTTTAGTCTCTTATCAAAGTCTTTCTTTCAAATTATGAGTCTGGCAGCGCCCTGTTAAAACCCCTTTCAGAAACAAAAATATGTGACTTGTGAAAAATATGTGAAATTTAGTCAAAATAAAGAATAAAATAAAGGCAGTCAGAGCTAAAATTAAAAAGAATAATAACTTCTGATAAATGTTTAAATTATTCTGATTGGAATTAACAATATAAATATGTGAATCAATGATGAATGTGTTTAAAAAAAATTAATGTAATGAACAAAAGGGGTCAGTAATTATGAAACAATAATTTGTGTGTCAACTATCCCTTTAATGTGTGTTTCAGGAGTTTGTAGCCAATGGGGTGGTTGGGGTGTGAGTTACAGTCCTTCACACATCTGTGCACTAAAGGACTCAACAGTGATAATGAGATGCACTTATACATACCCTACTGGATATCAGATCATGAAAGTGTTCTGGACCAAAACACTGGTAATAGATCATGGAGAGTTTCCAGATCTGTCTAATGACCCTGAATACAGTCAGAGGCTTCAGTATCTGGGAGATAAACAGCAGAACTGCACCGTCAGACTGAGTCATGTGACACTGAAGGATTCACACATGTACTATTTCAGATTCATCACTGATAAAGACAAATGGACTGGTTATCCAGGAGTGACTCTTAATGTCACAGGTGACTTTGATGAGGTTTATCTCTTCTTCTGTGCATTATGTTGAATAATAATCAGTGTATGACAGCAGCACTAGATATAATGTGTGTGTTGTGTTCAGATCTTCAGGTGGAGTCTCCTGAGAGAGTGACAGAGGGAGATTCAGTCAGTCTGACATGTAAAAGCAGCTGCGCTCTGACTGACAGAGCAACATTCATCTGGTACAGAAACTCACAGCCATTAACTGAGAGAAGAGACAGAAACAATGAACTCCTGCTGCAGTCAGTCAGAAGAGAGGATTCAGGCAGATATAGCTGTGCTGTAGACGGACACACTCACGTCTCTCCTGATGTCCAGCTCAATGTCATGTGTAAGATCATTTGATTTAATGTATGCACTTTTTTCTTTGAAGTTTCTTTCCAAATTAAGGAGATTCCAGTGATGGACAAAAAGTATGTGCAGTTCTTGTAATTAATGGGTTTTATGATCAAACATCTAATTGAAAGCTTTTGCACAAGAGTGAAAGCAGTCTTTTGAAATTAAATATCCAACATGCACATGTAGTTAAAAGTGTTACAGAGTCAGTGTGAGAGAACTAATCTTGATCAGGCGGCCCATCACCATCTTCACACTTTTAGTATTCATGTAAAAGCTTCAAATGTTATTGACAGCGGGAGTTTTTTTAGGGAAATACTAGTGATTGAAAATAATATTTGAAATATTTCAACTGTAGATCCCCCAGAGAGATTGCAGGTGGCATGAGAGATGATTGGCCTAATAACACTTGCGTGTGATTGGCTGAATGTTAGTTCACTCAATCCCAAGTAACAAACACCAGTGAACATGGATGGGAATGGTAGGAAAACGTGGGGGCCAGAATCACATCTATGTAGAAGACATGTAAATATCTGTGATTGCAAATTTACTGTGATTGTTAATGATATCAATGTTTCTCTGTTTTAGATTCTCCCAGGAGCGTCTCAGTGTCCATCAGTCCATCTGGTGTAATAGTGGAGGGAGATTCAGTGACTCTGAACTGCATCAGTGACTCAAACCCTCCTGCAGAAATCCGCTGGTTTAAAGGAGGAACGATTGTAGGATCTGGAAGAATCTTCAACATCTCAAAGATCAGCTCTGAAGACAGTGGAGAATACAAGTGCAAGTCCATCAATAAACATGGAGAGAAATACTCTGATGCTGTGACTTTAAACGTCATGTGTGAGTTAATGATGGTTCAGTAACTGTTGTAACAAACAAATTAGTGGATTAACATTTGCAAAACATTACTATTGAGTTTATTTTGTCTGTTTTAGACCCTCCCAGGAGCGTCTCAGTGTCCATCATTCAGTCTGGTCAGATTTGGCTGGGAGATTCAGTGACTCTGAACTGCACCAGTGACTCAAACCCTCCTGCTCTGAACTTCAGCTGGTTTAAGGAGAATGAAACCTCAGCTGTTGGATCTGGACAGAGTTTCAGTGCACTACAGAGTGGACGCTTCTACTGTCAGGCTCACAATCAACATGGATCTCAGAGATCAGACGCTGTAACTGTCACAGGTGAAGCTTTTAATAACACACTTCATTCTCAGTTTTTAGATTTAATTATGATAGTCTCCCTCTTTCAGTTGGTCGTACTGCTGGTTGGCTCGTCTGGTTGGGGATCACAGTAGCATGTGTAGGAATATTCATCATCATCATCATCGTATTGTATAAAATGTAAATACAAAATGATTAACAAAGAGTAATAAGTGCATTTGATTATTAAATGAAACAATGAAATGGCATGTTTCCATTTGTTTTTTAACAGTCAGAAGAAAAGGATAAACTGTAGATCTGCAATACACGAGTATGAGGTGAGATGGCCAAATAACCACAGAATGATTCTAATAAATCAATTACAGCTTCTTTGTACATGTAGAATATATATATATTACCATACTCGAGATTTTACAGGATTTTATGTGAGAAGAAACACTGTGAAGTGATTACACTTTTGATTGTCATGTTAACAATTTATAATCTTTTACATTAATTTTTTTTCTAAATTTATTATGGTGATAGTCCTTTTCTCGGTTTCCCTGTAGAACGATCCTAGAACTGATCCCAGTGAAGGCACATATACATCTCTTGAGCTCAACACCAGATCATCTGACCTGTACAACACACTCACAGTAAGAGAAAAATCTAAAACTACACGTGCAAAAGAGTTGCATTCAAAAGTCAGATAATTAATAATCAATGTGTTTTTTGCCATGGACTGTTCATCCCGCACCTGCTGTTCACCAGTCGGGCTCTTCTGGATATGAGAATCTGTCAGTTTCTCAAGTCTTCTCAATTTCATAAAAAAATAAATAAAATGTCCTCAGTAGTCAATTAACCAGTCAATAGATACTAAACAGTCTTTTCTCAGATTATTTGTAGCATTTTTAGTGTTGATTTATGTAAATGTGTGTCTTAATTCTGTTGAAGCCACAGCAAGACGCCACAGTAAGATGAAGCACAAGCTAAACTTTACTCAACTTTTGTCCCATCGCTGGACACTTCCACATCACAACTACCAGTGAAAATGAAACACATCTTCAGGGTTTACATTCTGCAGAAAGTAATGGATTATATTCATGTGACTTGAAGAACAGTCAATTTGTAATTAATAAACTAGTTTAGAGTTGTGTCTTTAATATGTTATACATTTTATCTGTGTATTAAAGGGTCCATGTTACAGATTTTTCTCTTTATTTCTTTTCAAATAAAATATTAAATGATAAAAAAAAAATGTATGAATATTCAACATTTTGTTTTGAATCTGTGCTTTAAAGTGCATATCAATACTGGCCAAGTCACGTGATTCCAGCAAATGAGGCTTCGTTAGGTCATACAAGGTCAAACGAAATTCTGATAATTTGATGATAAAACGGTTCTCATTTTTTTTTGGTCTTGCCCCCTTTAAACCTTTAAAAAAAATATTGTGCCTCCACTTATATAATTTACTATATAATTTCACAAAAAATTATGAAAATTTAAAGATTTGCAACTGAAAAACCTGTAATGAGTAACACCTGCAATAGTTTAAATGTCACCGGTTCTACACCAGACGCGAGCAGCGAAACACAACTAAAGACAATAGAAACACCAGCAATATTATAAATGTCACCTTGTTTGAACAGAACAATGAGAAACACAAGAACTACTGACTTCGAGCCACTACACATTAGTACCATTTTTCAAGTCACCATTATGGTGGTCAGTGTTTGCTTTAGTTGAGCTTTTGACCTTTTTATTTTGTATTGTTAGATTTTCTCTGTCTATTCAAACATTGTGATTATAAAGCACATTTGTTACTGCAAGAGAAAACTCTCCCTTATTTAACACACCTGATTCAGATCCTCAGCTCGTTAGGATAGACTCTATCCTGAGGAGCTGAGGATCTGAATCAGGTGTGTTAAATAAGGGAGACATACACAATATGCAGAGCAGTGGGTCGCGAGGACTGGAGTTGAGAACCACTGCTCTATATTAAACGGGACATATTATGCAAAATTCACTTTTATAAGATTGATCAACTTTATTAATCCCCAGGGGGAAATTTACATGTCACAGCAGCACAACAATAAAATTACTAAATAGAACACTTAAAGGAATGAGTCCTTACCCCAAGGAGCCGTAAGGCAAAGCTCTCGATCTACTGGTCAATTTTCGTTCCTACCCTCACCTATGGTCATGAAGGCTGGGTCATGACCGAAAGAACGAGATCGTGGGTACAAGCGGCCGAAATGGGTTTCCTCAGGCGGGTGGCTGGTGTCTCCCTTAGAGATAGGGTGAGAAGCTCAGCCATCCGCGAGGAGCTCAGAGTAGAGCCACTGCTCCTTTGCATCGAAAGGAGCCAGCTGAGGTGGTTTGGGCATCTGGTAAGGATGCCTCCTGGACGCCTCCCTAGAGAGGTGTTTCAGGCACAGCCAGCTGGGAGGAGACCTCGGAGGACTAGGTGGAGAGATTATATCTCCACACTGGCCTGGGAACGCCTCGGGATCCCTCAGTCAGAGAGCTGGCAAATGTGGCTCGGGAAAGAGAAGTTTGGGGTCCCCTGCAGGAACTGCTGCCCCCGCGACCCGACCTCGGATAAGCGGATGAAGATGGATGAATGGAAAAAACTTAAACAACATTCACAACAGCAAAATGACTTATTCTCCAGTATCAGTTTTGCAAAGCATTATGTCAATGTCAATGTCAATGTCACCTTTATTCATATAGCACTATTCAAACAACACAAGTTGACCAATGTGCTTTACATTCTCACTGAAAAATAGAAAGAGAAACATACTACAATAGTAATAGAAAAAAAGAAAAAAACAGAAAAAAAAACATTTAAGACGAATAAGCCATGGCAAACAGATATGTCTTAAGTTGTACTTTAAAAACATGTACAGAGTCAGCATCCCTAACATATGATGGCAAACTATTCCAAAGTCTTGGCGCTACTACTGCAAAAGCCCGATCCCCTTTCTGGCTTAACTTAGTCCGTGGAATTTTCAGCAACTTTTGAGTTGATGATCTCAAGGCTCTTCCTGATTGATACTCTATTAACAGAGCTGATAAATAAGTCGGTGTAAGGTCATGGAGTGATTTATACACCAATAAAAGAAGTTTAAAATCAATTCTATATTGTACAGGAAGCCAATGTAGAGCGATCAAAGATGGACTGATGTGTTCTCGTTTTTTAATATTCAATAATAATCTCGCTGCCGCATTTTGGACCTTTTGCAGCCGTAAAATAGAAGCTTGACTAATTCCCTTATATAAAGAGTTACAATAATCAAGTCTTGACGATATAAGTGCATGAATAGCAATTTCCAGGCTCTTATACGTCAAACACGATTTCATCTTAGCCAAGTTTCTCAACTTGTCTTCACCACATGGTTTATCTGTGCATTTAGCTTTAGAGAGCTATCGATGTAAACACCCAAGTTTTTAACACGTTCTTTAACATGTATTGAGAGTGGGCCGAAATTTAACTCCGCTGAGCTCCTTGTTCTTCTAGACCCGCATACTACTATCTCCGTCTTATTTTCATTAAGATATAGAAAGTTAGAGGCCAACCATGATTTAAGTTCAGACAGGCAGGACATTAGAGGCTCCAGGCTACTTCCGTTTATTAATGGCGAGTATATTTGCAAGTCGTCTGCATAGCAATGAAATGCAATATCATACCTCCTTAAAATATCTCCCAACGGCAGCATGTAAAGTGAAAAAAGCGTTGGGGCCAGAATAGAGCCTTGTGGCACACCGCATATCAGTGGTGTAGAACTTGATGTATACTGGCCGAATTTCACTGCCATGCTTCTTTCAGTCAGGTATGACCTAAACCAATTTAGGGCCTTCCCCTGAATCCCTACATATTCCTCTAGCCGCGACAGCAACACTGCGTGATCTATTGTATCAAAGCCTGCGGTTAAATCTAATAAAACTACACAGCAAAATCCCCAGTGTTAAATTAACACTCTGAGTGTGGACTCATATAAACACTGAAGCAGTGTTAAAGTTAACACTGAAGCAGTGTTAAAGTTAATGAGATAATTAAGTGAATAATTGAGTGATGATTGAGCATCATTGAAGACACCTGATGATAACAAGCAGAATCACTGTAGGAGAAAACCGTAATTTTAAGTCACCATTATGGTGATTAGTATTTGCTTTAGTTGGGCTCTTGACCCTTTAATCATTAACTTCAGATTTTGTTTGGCTGCTGTATGTGAGTTATAACAGCCAGATGAACATATAGAAAAGGTGATCTGATGGTGTTGGTTGTGTTTCAACATAATCATTATTTCACAATCATTTGACCTGAATCACTGAACTCATGTATAGGCCAATTTCTGAGTTAGGTTTACTTTATTAATTATAGCAGCACTGTCCATGTATGGCATCATATTTTTAGCCTTTTCAATGAAACCAAATGATCAACAAAAAAAAAAACGTCAAAAATTATTTATGTTGGTACACACAGACATCAAGAATTAGCATATGAATCTCAGCAATGGTGACAAACAGATCACTTCTGAACATAAGCTCATTATTTATTCATGCAGCAATGCATGATTGGAGCCATGAATGAGTTTTTATTGGTGGCACCCAGAATGCACAACAACATGCTTTAATAATTGTCACCATTGTTGAGATTCACAGGCTGATTCTTGATGTCTTTGTGTCTAAAAACTATATCAAATAAACGATTGAAAAAAAAAAAAAAATTATATGAGACGTGTATAAAATAAAATTCTGTGGATTACTTTGTAAAAGTTTAAAACACTATGCTGTGCAAGAATAGTGCTGCTATAATTGATAAAGTAAACCCAATTTGGGCTCTATATGAGTTCAGTAATTCAGGTCAAATGATTGTGAAATAATGATTATGTTAAAACACAACCAACACCATCAGATCACCTTTTCTATATGTTCATCTGGCTGTTATAACTCACGTACAGCAGCCAAACAAAATTTAAAGTTAATGATTAAAGGGTCAAGAGCCCAACTAAAACACACACTGATCATCACAATGGTGATAACGGTTTTCTCCTTCAGTGATTCTGCTTGTTATCATCAGGTGTCTTCAATGATGCTCAATCATCCCTCACTTATTCACTTAATTATCTCATTAACTTTAACACTGCTTCAGTGTTAACTTTAACACTGCTTCAGTGTTTATATGAGTCCACACTCAGAGTGTTAATTTAACACTGGGGATTTTGCTGTGTAACACTGCTGAATGACCAGAATCCACTGTCATCAATAAATCATTGTGCACATTTTTACAAGGGTAGTCTCTGTAGAATTAAGCCTCTTAAAACCAGACTGGTAAACTTCACCAATCTTATTCTGTTCTAAATAAAACTGTAATTGATTGAGCACCACTTTTCTAAAATTTTTGACATAAATGAGAGATGCGAGACCGGTCTAAAATGATTCAGGTCAGTTGGATCTAAATTTGGGTTTTTTTAGCACGGGTTGCACAAAAGCCTGTTTCAGCATGTTAGGAAAAATACCTGTATCTAAACTTTTATTCACAATCGGAAGAATACTAGGTCCAACAGTCTCAATATTTTCTGTCAGGAACCAAGGAGGAACCATGTCTATAGCTGACCCGGTAGGTTTCAGGTTACTTACAATTTCCCGTAGC